ATCAAAATGGCCATACTACACAAAGCACTATGCAGATTCAATGCAATTACTATTAAATTCCAATGACATTCTTCATAGAAATAGGAAAAGCAATCATAAAATTTATTTGGAAAAATAAGAGGCCTAGAATAGCCAAAACATCCTTACCAAGAAAATAATATGGGAGGCATTACAATATCAGACCTTAAATTATGCTACAGAGCCATAGTAACAAAACTGTCATGGTATTGGCACAAAAACAGACATGAAGACCAATGGAGCAGAATAGCAGACACAGAGACAAACCCACATAAGTATAGTTTATCTCTTATTGGACAAAGGCATCATAATAATATATTAGAGAAAAGATAGCCTCTACAACAAATGTTGCTGGGAAAACTGGAAACACATATACAGTAGATTGAAATTAAACACATATTTCTCACCCTGTACAAAACTCCAAACAAAGTGGATCAAGGATCTAGGCATTAGATCAGAGACCCTGTGCCTACTAGAAGAAAAAGTAGGCACAAATCTCCATCATATGGGCTCAAGAACAGACTTCCTGAATAAGACTCTGAAAGTACAAAAAGTAAAATCAAGAATCAATAAAAGGGATGGAAACAAACTAAAAAGCTTCTTCAAAGCAAAGGAAACAATAAAGAGCAGGAACATAGAGCCTACATATGTGAGAAAATCTTGACCACCTGTATCACAGATAGAACATTAATCTCTAGGATATATAAAGAACTCAAGATTTAACAACAACAACAACAAAAATAAAATAACCAATAAAAATAAATAACCCAATTAATAAATGGGCAAAGGAACTGAACAGGCACTTCACAGAAGAAGAAATACAAATGGTCAAGAAAAAATGTTCAAAAATCTGCAATTTGGGAAATGCAAATTAAAACTATACGGAGACTTCATCTCACTACAGTCAGAATGGCAATTATCAAAAATGCAAGTAACAATAAGTGTTGGCAAGGATGTGGGAATTTTTTTCAAAATCTAGAGGAGATCCGAAGAAGATTTGAATAAGCAGGGAAAAAACGAGCAAACTTGAAGAGAGATCATTAGAGAGGACACAATCTAAAGAAAGAAGAAAAGCTAACAATGTCTCTGAGAAATATATAATCCAATATGGAGGAATGGGATGGATTCTTACTTCCATTTTAAAAAGAACATTGACAAACAGTTATTTGAACATCACTTGCATCAAATTCCCTTTCACTTTCTTGGACTCTAATACTAGGAATCAAATAATTTTCTACATATTTCATATACTTTCTTTCATGGGCCTTTTTTATGCTTTATTACGGGTGTTTTTAAACTGATATGTCTTCCAGTTAAGTAATTTTGTATATCTGACTGTCCAATCAACTGTTCAACTTATCTACTGAGTTCTATTTACAATAATTTTGAGTTGGAAAATATCAATTAGATAATTCCTAATTCACTGAAGATATTCTACATTTTCTTACATTTTATACATATTCTCCTATTTTAACATATATTAATCATGATCATAGACTCATGTATTGTTTCTCTACATTCTGAATCATTTTGGAACTTCTAAGAATTTGTTCTTTTATCTCCTTACTCCATTTTTTAAAAAAAATTCTCTAATAGCAAGTCAGGTTTTTTCCTTTTACCATGTATTTTAGCCTATTTTCTGCTGCTATCACATAATATTACAAATTGGGTAATTTACAGAGAAAATAAGTTTATTGCTCATGATTCTGGAAGTTGTGAAATTATTGAACGCTGCATGTGATGAGGCCTTCCTGGTGCATCAATCCATGATGACAGATGGAAAAGGACAGAGTTGATGCAAGAGAGAAGATGCATAGCAAGAAGGAGATTGCTTTTATGAGAAAGGCAATCCTGTGATAACTGTGATAACTGTACCATTCTCATAATGAAGGCTTTAATCTGTCATGATGGTCCTGCCTAAACACCTCAGAAAGACGCACCTCCAAATACCATTATAGTGACAATGAAATTTCAAAATGAGTTTTGGAACAGACATTTGAACCATAATAGCAAGTGTAAAAATATTTCGCTGTATGTTGGTAATTATACATTGAATCACCAACAGCTCCACTACAATTTCTGATTTCCTGGGTTGGGAAGATGGACTAAGGAGCTAATTACTTAAATCAATCATGGATTAAGCTAGGCCAGAGGTGAGCAAGCTTTCAATAAATCTTGGACTAATCTTTACTTATAGAGCACTGCTCAGATATGGACCTGCTTCACTTTCACTTGGGAGTGTACATGACACTAACTGCTCAGCTTTGAAGGATTATGGGGATCAGTCTCTACAATCCAAATGTTCACAGTCTAGCTCTTCAGCCTTCTGTGAAATGAAAGGCCAGAATCCAATTAAGTGTCTTAATGGAAAAACTGAATGTGCTTGAGACAAGCCACTTCACTGTGTCTTGTGTACAAAATGTAACATGGATTTAGGAAAATATGCCTTTTAGAAATTTCAGAGTATTTCACCAACATCTCACAATGCAGAAGAGACTTTGGGGAAAATGATTACCAGTTGAAGTCCCCCAAAGGTCTACTTTATGAATGCAGGCCTGGGAAGTAACTAAGAGGACTGGAGTCCCTCTGCTTCTCAGCAGAGTTCCTGTCCTCCAATGGGGCCAAACTTCCTCCTCTATTCACATCCAGCATCCACTAGTTCTCCAGAGAAAAGAACACCTGTCGATACTCAACTCACTTCACAACTGTGTTCCAGTTGGAAAATTTAGTTCATTGAGTCCTCCTTGCCTTCCCAGCTCTCTGATGACCTCAAAGTATGGTTTTTAAGGTTTAATTGGAGATCTCTAGGTCTTTTTCCCCAGAGAAAACAAAATTTGCCAAGACTTATTACATCCTACATACAAAACTTGTAAATAACTTGTTCATCCTATTTTGTAATCAAAGACGCAAAGGAATTGTGTGGCAACTGCTATTGTCCTGTTTAGAGATTACAAAGACATTCTCCCTAAGTTTAAATAATTTTCCCAAGGGGGTAAAGGGCAGTGGTTAAAAAAAAAATCTCTGATGTCTGACTCCTTCCTGTGTTCTCCAGCATACCAAGGTAAGTTTTATAGCCCTCAGAATTCAGTCACAAACAAGAAACCACACTCCTGAGATAACAAGTTACTAAGTAGAAGGCATAGCTGTCACCATGAGGAATGGAGATCAATGGAAAAAGGTCAGATATTCACACCCAGATCTTGGGAATAGGTTCTATGATTCTAGGACCCCAACCTCTGAGGACAGGTATAGCCAAGTTGGTGCTAGAACCTCTGGAATCTGGCAGAGGGCTCAGAGAACCAGGACCCAGGGCTCTGAGGATAAGTTGTTTGGTAGCTTTGCTGTATCTCTGGGGCTGATGATACTTTTGCTTCTGGAAGTTCCTAAATATACATAGGAATAATGTACAGACTGAAAACTACTGCAGCTGATTTTTAGATGGAAAACTCTAAGTGAGGTGGTGCTGATGCAAACTTCAAGCAGTTCCCACAGGTATCCAGTCTCTCTGTGGCTCCCCCAAGGGCAGAAACTGCTAAGGAGGACTGCAAAGAGGTGTGATTTGTGAGTTTCCTCTCTCCCTGTGACACAGCAGAGTGATGAGAGATGGGGAGCACACACACACACTCTCTCTCACTCTCTCTCTCTCTCTCTCACACACACACACACACATACACACACTTGATCTAATCATGCAGTAGGCTTAAGAAACACAAAGAAGTATTTCCATGAACAACAAACCACTATGACTAATATTTGGTGGTAGAATGGTTGCCTAGCATGTGCAAGGCTCTGAAATCAATCCCTAGTGCAGTAAACATTAAAAAATAATGAAATCAGCCAGGGGCAGTGGTGCACACATGAAATCCCAACAGTTTGGGAAGCTAAGGCAACAGGATCACAAGTTCAAAGCCAGCCTTAGCCAAAGCAAGGTGCCAAGCAACTCAGGGAGACCCTGTGTCTTAAGAAAATGCAAAATAGGGCTGGGGATGTGGCTCAGTGGCTGAGTGCCCCTGAATTCAATCTCCAGTACCCAATAAAAGAAATTAAAAAACCTACTAAAATTGCTTGAAATAATGATAAGTAGGAAACTGTTATTAATTACATGTATTATGGTGAATGCTTATGATCCTGAAGCAATGATCTCTGGACCTTCCTGACAGTGGTTTCTAACATTTGCCATAACATTTCTACTTCCGGGATAATAAATGTTAATGCATGGGAAATTTCACTGAGGATTGGGATTATTTTTTGAAAACGTAAAAATTTTGCTCTTCTATCTCAGGTAAAGTTTATATATTGAGCTCTTCTTTGTCAAGTAAAGGGTAAGTTTGAACACACAGCTATTCCATCTCAGGTGAAGGTTGCATATTTCCGTCTTCTTTCTTAGGCGTTGTTTATAGGATCGCCAAAATCAAAAGTAACACAATCAACATCAAAAGACAAAATGGAAATAAAAAAATAAGTGGTGCAGGGAAATTCTTCTTTGGCCTAGCTCTCTTCATTACTATTTTCCCAGGAGGTGGGCCACTGTCAACACTCCCTCCATAGCCTTCTTCTGTGCAGTTTGGGGGCTCCCAGTTAGGGTCACAATGGCAGTGATGTTTGTTGTTGCAGATCCCTTTCATAGCACAGGTCTCTGGTGAACAATCACTTGCCCACAATGACATAGAGACACACTTCCGGTGTATGCATACTTGTCCATCACCACACTCTGTGCCATCTTTCACATCACCAATATCTGGTACAGTCATCCCAAAATGATAGTCGGTACCCCAGCAGGTCACACCATTGAAGTCCATCCAATGCACAGTAGTATGACCTCTCAAAGAGGGAATTTCTTTCACATTCTCACACTGAACTCTTCCACAGAGGAAATCTGATGTGTTACACATGACATAGTGGTCATCAATGATACCACAGTTACCAAAGCGGTCACCTCGGCTGTTCATTTCTGTGTAGCAACTCTCCTGTGCATTCCTGGATTATTTGCCAAAGATCTGTCTGCACTGTTCATCACGTGCATTGCATCTCTTCTCATGGCAGTAGCCACTGTCCATGCAACGGACCCCATCCTGCACATACACATCTTCTGGACACTCAGGTGAGGTACCACTGCACCACTCTGGAAGATCACACTCACTGACATTTTCTCTACACACTTGACCCGGTGGCAAGAGAAGGCAGTCTTCGCAACAAAGCCCAGAAGCACATTCAGCCCCATTTTTCAGAGTGCAACTTACTGAACAACATGGATGGTTTGAACACAAAATTGGGGGTCCACAGTCACACTCCTCTCCTTCTTCAACTACACCATTCCCACAGACATTCCCCCTGAAGACATCCATTTGTTTTGGTGCATTGCGCAAACAGTTCATAAATGGAAAGTTTTCCCACATATAAGCATAACTGCAGTTGCTGAATCTTGTGCCATCTGATTGTTCTTCAGACATTATACAATGGCGTTGCCCATATTGACATATCCATACATCATGGTACATACCCAGATTATGACCCACCTCATGTGCAGTAGTAAGTGAAAAATCAAAAAGATAATCATTCGTGAGACTTTCCACTCCACATTCCATACCAGGTATGCATACAGTTGCAATATAGGCTAAGCCAAGATGTATACCAAAATCTTGTTTTGCCCAAAAATGTACAAGATCATGTTTTTTGCGAGATTCAAGGCTGATTCTCTTCCAATTGCAAAACTCATCCAGGAGTCTAAATATGTTATTAGTCACTTTGATAAAGTTCTTTTCATTCCAGACCTCAATTCCAAGTAAACTCAAATTAACATCCAATTTACTTAAAAGGGAATGTACATTGTTGAGAATGACAAATGCTTCCTGTACCACAAGTGAAACATTACCTCTCTTATACAGGAATCGCTGATAGTCTACAACCAAAACTGCTTCAAGATACCATGTGTGGGTCCACCACCCTTCATAGCCACTTTGCTTCAGAATGGAATTATCACTCCTTTGCAGTGTCAGTTGTCGTGCTAGTTCTTCTTCTGTTAGTCCACATCTGTGGGGCGGGAATTGTGTCTTCTCTCTGCGCATCTTATAAACCAGATGTTCAAATGTGGTAGAAAATCTTCTGGGTTTGATTTCATAAACATTGTCATGGATCTCTAACATACCTTGAAAGCTCCCCAAACAGGCGCTCAGAGCAACCAGGGATTCTGGGTCCCCTTCCACATAACCATGATAGTAGCAGTTACTTTGGACAAAAGGGTGGTCCTCATGCAGAGCACCCTGGTCTGTGTAGGTGAACACAGAGAAGGGTTTGGACACCAGAAGTTTCTTGGCCTTCATGTGGACAATGTGTTTCTTGCCTCCAAAGTGCAGACTGTAGGAGATCCAGTCAGGGGTCCTCATGCCTCTACGGGTGCCAGTTATCCTCAAGGGTATCATTACTTCTGGGGGGCTATAGTGTTGAGAGTGCCCAATCTGGACCCATCCAGAAAGGAAGAGCAATATTCCCAGGCAGAGGTGTAGGACAGTGATCCTCATATGCACCAGGGCCTCACCCACAGCCATCATGGTTTATGACTGGAGGTAATGGGGCAGGGCAGGAGGTGCTGTTGTCCTGTCTCCTCCCTTTGACTTGGTTGCAAGCAGCACTGACCTTTAATTGGATGTCTTCTGGCAGAGTCAATTCATCAGAGCAACACAGCTAAAAGAAAAAATGAAAAGAAGGGCAGAGATGGGCTACCTAAATTATGAAAAGTCTAAGGTGGAGAAGAACAGCAGGGTATGGGTTAAAATGCATTAGTGTTTGGTTTAAGGTATGACTCCATATAGTGCACTGGATTTGCTCTTTAGTTTTGATGAGGTGGAGTCAGACTGTGGGAGTTGAAAATTATAACAACTGCCCATTGGTTGAAATTTGCCATACCCGTGGGTTCATGAACCATTCTCTAAATACATGTACAAAAGGGAACATTTTCTCAATAAATATTTAAAACCAGAGTCTGAATGAAAAGCTGAATATATACCTTGTTTTGATGAGGGAGTTACAATATATACAAATCGACTTGGAATAAATAATAATTGGTTGTCTTTCCTATATCAAATGACTATTTACACACATTACTCAGGAGAAATATGCAAAACAATTTTATATACATTACTTTTCTTCATGATCCTTAACATGGGCTTCCATGCAACTAATTATGATTTGTATGATCTTCCTCCAATTCTGTCGGATTTCAATGTCAAAGCACCAATTGTCCTTCAAAGGTATTAGAATCTGCTTGTGATGGATATTTTCAGGCATAAAGCAAGCAATAGTGGAGTTGGAAGGGGGAACACATAACTTGGTTTTGTTACTGAAAGGTGTTTTATGTGATTACACTCATACAAAAAATAATATTTTCAAAATCTCTGGCTGCATATAAAGAAAAGTAGATCAAACTAGCTGAAAGAGGAACAGAAATAGGGAGGGTGGGAGCAAAATAAAGCCTCTTGATATGAAAAGGAAATCAATGAACCCTGGGAGAATGGAGGAAAGCTTCAGTGCAGGTGATGTTGTACCAGAGCATAGGCATCAAAATCCCTGGCATTTCAGGATCCTGAGGAAACTGCTCCAAGATCAACCTTCCCATGGATTTGTCTCAGAAATGAGAAAACCTACAAAAAATAGAGATTAAACAATCATTTTGAGAGTACAAATATCCTATGATGAATGAGTGCAAATGAGAAATCTGATAAAAGCACAATTCCTGGCTGACGATACTGATTTGTTGCTTTGTTATCAAGCAAAGTAGGAAATGTACTGCAGAATATGCAGATACTGTGCAGCATGCCTGGGAAATATCACAGGATGATACAGGTTAATGATGTGGAACATAAATTTCCACAGTAGTTGCAGTGAACATATACTTTAAGAATCTGTTAGATTGCATTTAATACTTTCCAGATAAAATGCCTGTTTTTCTTGTCCTTTTGAGAGTATCCATAGTTTTCATGATATCTTTAAAGCCATGATAACTTAAAAGTGATGACATTAAGAACCACCATGCTGATTGGGGGAGAAAGAGAAACAATGGCAGTAGAGGAAAGTGGAATCTGTGACAAGGGATCTAAAACACAATGATCAAACACCACTTTCCACAATTGGGAATTCAAACACAAAAGTGTCTGTATTCAAAACCATTCTCCTCCTGGACCCATTTCTCCTTAATTTTTCTTTGATCTTGATTATAAGTTCTTTGAGCTTTCTCCCTCTTTAAAATAATTTTCCTATCACTCATGGAAACTTCTCACTAAACACAGCAACAGACTTTCCTCTGGTGAAACTTTGTTATGGAGAACTCCTTTTTCTTAGTTTATTTTACAAAATTTTTTTGAGTCAACAATTTGAAGCACATATTGGAGGTGATTTAGTTTTTCTGTCATACAGACCAGATATTCAGTTATAACTTGCTTTTGTTGCCAAAGCCACTTCCAAACCAAAAATCTAGCAGTCATCCCCTCCAACCTTTATTCCCATTCTTCCCAGTTCTTTCAACAACCTCCTGATCAATGCTGCACAAGCCAGAAAGTGTTGGGTGTCTACTGCTTCTTTCTTCTCCATCAACAACCTTATTAATGTTCTCACTATGTTAAGCAATCATGTGGGCAACTCACAAGCTCCCAGATGTGTTTATTACTGTTACAACTTGTGCTCAGCCACCTTTAGCAATTGACTGACGGCATTGTCCTATATCATATCATTATGCTTGAACATCTCAACTCTCACATATTCATTAGCCATAACTTTATTCTTAAGTAAAAGTTACTCATCAGCTTCACAGAGGACACACAAAAGGTTTCCTTTCATGTTTTCCCACTTTTCAAGTTTTCTTCATTGACTTGTCACCCCCATAACCCAACTCTAGTTTCTATCGGTTCAACCACTGTTGACCAAAGTGCTCAACCCAGTCTAGATTAATGCTTTTGCTACTGTGACAACACACTGTCAACACTTCTGGGGAAATAAATTGCAGCAGTCTATTTAGGAGGATGGGTATGAAGGAAAGATACATAATACTAGAAAAAGATAGCCTGATAGCTCACCCTAAAGAATGAAGTTACAAACAAATATTGATTTTAAATACTTCCATCCTTTTAAAAATCTGTGCATTTTGTCCACATATTTTCCATAATTTCTGTTTTTTCCCCTCAATTTCCTTATTAATGGGTAGAACCCTCAACTGAAAATCAATATTGTTTTGTTTTTGCAATTTGTTATGATTATCAAATTGCATAATGTTAATTTAAGTTGTAAATGAAGAATTTTTCATTTAGTGCTATTTAATTCAGGATCAAGTGATTTTCTTTTCTTTCCTTTGTCATTTCACATAAGTAGCAGGGACCTGTCTGAGGTTAGATACAATCCTGATCTTTAAAATGAGAAGAGCACCTTGATTGCTTGGGGAAGTAATCAAGTAAAATAAAGAGGTGGCTAACTTTACATTGGCTAAAAACCCACAGAAGTAAGCAAGGTCACTAAAGGAAACTTTGTGGATAACTTCTCCAAATCATGCATAAAATTTTGATCTGAATCTTTGCTCTCCATGTCTTTACATGTATTTAGTAATTACGAAGGGGTGTAGATTTTTGTTTCGATAGAAATAGTCATTGATTACTTGTGTGCATTGTTGAGAGTGAGCAAAATAAATCTCTCACAATGTATTCTTAACACCTCATCTTGCAAGCAGGTATTAGGAAAACAAACTCAAAAGAAAATTTAAGGAAGACTCTTTTTTCACACATTACATTGTTTTGTACAATGACTCCAGATGCCAAGACCCTGTTTTCATTCATCAAGTAGAATAATGTCATAATAGTACAGAGGCCTCAAAGTGACCGTCATGCACCAAAACTTCATCAAATCCATCAATCTCTGTATTCTAATTAACACCTACACTTCACTCTTGTATATAGTCTAATTCAGTATTTTCAAACTTGAATAACAATACATTAAAAACGGTTTATAGTATTCCTACCAAATAAAGTAGAAAAGGAATTTATAAAGTGCATAATCTGAATAACTGCCAAGAACTCATAGTTTTATTGAGTGTGTGTGCGTGTGTGTGTGTGTGTTCATTCATGTCCTCATTATTTAAATTTCTCTTCTTTAGATAAACCCTTGAATGACTTACCTACAGATGAAGTGATGATTCCCATGATTATTTCTAGGTATAGCCCCCTTCATGTCTCATTTCCGACACCCACCAACAAAGACTTTCTCGAGAACTCTCATGACAAAGAGAAATATGAATCCCCTCCCCTTCAATTGTCTCTCATTTGATTGAGTTCTAGATTGAGCTTCCTAGCAACAAGAGTCTCTCAGAATTCAGAAGAACATGGTAACAACCCCAGATTCCTCTTCACTCTGGCTCCATTATCTCTATCAAACTTTCTTGCTACGTACTTCTCAGTATAAATAGCTCTGACTTCCTTACCCTCATTGATTGTGTCCCAATAACCATTCAATATGAATAAGACTTACTTTCTTACTCCTATTCTATATGTTCCTCATATACACTATGCACTTTGCTCATACAGCTACCTTGGTCTCAGTTCACTTCAAAATTGAGCCACACTGTGGAACACTTGAAGGACATCAAGTTCCAGGCGGGGAAAATGAGCTCATTTAAAACATTTCTGGAGACACCCACACATTAGCATTCATTGGCATCTTTATTCCTAAGGCCAATGAGTGGCTCAGAGACATTGCATGTCTGCAGCTGGACTCTCTTGCCTTCCCCCTTCCCCACACTTTTATCACTAGTTCTTAAGGGACCAAACTTGATTTGATGGTTTTCATGTCTGTATTATTTTTGCTAGGTCTGTCATGGTAAAGGAATATAAAATACGTAGCCTAAAAACCCCCAGAAATTTACTGTATAATAGTTTTAGAAGCCAGAAGTCCAACATCGTGGTATCCTCAGGCCCCTAGTGCCTCTAAAGTTGTTAAGGAATGATTTAGTTCAGCCTTCTCTCCCAGCTTCTGGTAGTTCCCTGGTCTGCAACCACATAATTTTAATCTCTACTCTCTGTCCAAGATGCTAAGAAAAAAACTGTCACAAGAGACACAGAAATTCATTATGTAACGAGGAAAGATTGATTCATCAGAAAGATATATGACAATTATAAATATCTCTGTGTGCAACATCAGTGCACCTAAATATCTGAAACAAATATTGACAGGTCTGAAGAGAGACATAGACAGCAATATAGTAATAGTAAAAGACCTCAATACTGTGCTTTCCATTGTGGCTGTAATATTATACATATAGTTCGTACATAAATAGCACATGTGAACAACGCTATAGAATAAAGAAACCTATAAGACATGAACAGAACATGCCACCCAGCTGCAGTGCATACACATTCTATTCAAGCAGGCAGAGAACATGTTGCTG